ATATACACAAACATATATACAATATCAGCGCGTAGGCTGGATATTCGTTCCTCACACAAACTTGTATTGTCAGATAAGTATGAACTAGCAATGTTCAAAAACTGTAGATCTTCATTGATGATCCTACGATGTCTGAACAACACCTTTCCCATTTCCACACTTTTATTCGACTACAACTGAAGTTAGTGTCATCTATAGCCTTTCGTCTAAATGACTGATCTGAAGATCATAACGAAATGAGCGTTTACCTCATTAATCTCGTCTAAATGTATATATAGGACTGCGTCTGTTGTGTAGGTTAGCTGTGCCTGTGAATCGGATAGATCTGATTTAACGCACTCCGAACGAATGCTTCGTCCGTTTGAGCCTATTCAATCCATGGGCATGTAGTAAAAAAAACTGAATGAATAGGACACTATATTTTACAATTGTTCCGGACTGGAACAAGAATTTTTTAGATTGTACGCACCCTTAAGGAAGCAGGCCACAAAAAAAACAGACTCCCTTGTACGAAGCTTCATAAATACGTGTGATTGAGAGGAGGTGGATGAGGACTCGAAAGGTTTACGTTTTGTACTTTTGGCGTTGCAACTGGCCAAAATAATCATGGTTTGCTCCGCAATGCGGAATGATACCACCTAGTGAAGACTGTAGATGTGGCCAGTGCATATCTAAATTGGCATTCTTAATTCTTCGAACCAAAATACCTTTTCGCTATTGTTCGAAGTCGCCTGATATACAGGATGAACTAAAACTTTTTTGACAGGTTGAAAAACCATTTCTTGGAAGTTCGAAAGTTTACATTTCACGTTTGCTGAGGTAACAGCAGGTATTAGGAAAAACTGAAATAATAAAAATCTGATCTGCCCCGCATTAGCAATAGGAATGCGCCCTTATTATTTATATGTACCCATGATATTATATTATAAACTTTTCATAAGGTACCGTAATATCAGTTAATAATAGAGTCACTGGAACGACCATAAAAATCCGCACATACTATAATATACTATTATAGGCAGATATGTATAATATATATTTTCACTATATATTTATAATCCTATGTTACAAGATTAGATGTAATACCGTGATTGAAACACCCCAAAACACGTTTGTAACACAGTATTAGTCATGGCAGTAAATGTATAAATTATAAATGTGTCACATAATTAAATTCCCTGTTTATTTCAATCATCTACATCTATTCCTTTGTTTTAGCTCATTCGAAATGCGGACTTCAGAACTTTCGAAAAACATAAATTGAAGACCAAAATAATATTTGACATTCATTTATATTTCCGGCCTATCCTAACACAGCGGAAAAAACACTTTTACGCTAGTAAGCCTCATCGGCCCAGCATCTAGCCCAGCAAATCGAGTACAGAGTCTCAACAATCACATAGATAGCATCGGAAGTTGGAAATTTCGGTAGGTGGTCGATTACGCTCTCTTTATTAGCTAAATACAGTTGTCCTTTACCTCAGCGCCACAGGGTTCATTTCGGGTTCGATATTGTTTTACTTTTCAAAAACCATTGAGTCAGATTTTTACTCACGACCAGTACCGAGGCAAAATCCATTTAATGGGGAGCAAGTGTTGGATTCAGGGCCAATAGTTGCAATAATCTCTATCGAGAGTACCATGCTTACTCTAATGCTTAACTCTTCTTTGAAACATCCGTCGGGTTCTTTATTTACCAGCACTGCGGGTTTTCGGGCGTGATAGCTTTAGCGAACAACCTACCTATTTTAATTTCTAGATCCTCTAATTGAGCGTGCTGCAACAGGTTGATTTTTGTTTTTTTCACTGTTTTTAGGGATTAAGAGGGGTTCAAGCGTCGTACCTCGGCCAAGGATGCCAACGTTTGATCTATCGACACAGAAATTTCACCTATTGCATTCTTATCCGTAATATAAATATGTACCATAAACACATGCTCGCCATGCGGAGAATGATTGCATACAACTCATATAAACTTTGCAATAAAAAACAATGACCTTTATCAAAGAAATGGCATTCTAGTGGATTTGTGTGCATTTCTAGCTTAATCCAAACGGGTTCATTTTAAATTGTGCATATAAGGTTCTGAATAAAAATGAACAGTTGTATGTTCTATATCGGTAATCCCAACTGTTTAACATTTTTTTTTAGTAGATTTGCCTGCTCGTTTAGGACTGGCTGTTGCCTGCTAAGGTCACTAAGAGAAATATAACTTACTACAGCGATGTTGATTGAATTCGCTTCGAACGAGTTTTTTGCGTTCATCCATGAAGGACTGGAATCGTCTAAAGATATTATCGATGATAGCCAGGATGATTACCTTAATAATCTGTCTAATATGATGGGGTAGATATGGCAAAATAGTCCGTTTGCTGAATAAATATAGCTGAATGTAATTACAATGTTTCGCACTGTAGCTTCATATTCTCGAATGACTCTTTACGTGAAAAATTACTTTTTATGGCTCGTAAGCCACTATAATCATTGTTGTTTCCTTGCATACTGCTGTTTCTTTGTACGTGCATTGTATGTGAAAGCCGCATGAGGCATACACCGATAGAACAAGCATGTTGCAACCGCTTAAACCGAATGTAGTAAGAAATGGTGTACGATATGATTTGTCTTGAGCACAACCGACCCTATGCTCGGTGCCTTATGGCCAACGTGATTTGTTTCTTAGTGAGTTTCAGTCAGGTCACTGTTACAAACGGCTCAAGTTTTTACCACTGTTTGCGTAACTTACGACTATGCCGAGCATATTTTTCGTTCAAGCATAACGTCATAATGGCGAAACACACGACTGGGCACAGCAGATTGTTCTCATTTATCATCTCAGAGTCGTCTACTTGTGTCTAGTACAGTATATAATCATAGGATCTATATTAGAAACAGCGAGAACTAGCCTGAAAAATCGCCGATGTCCAATTTCTTTCAGTCGCAACTTACGGTATGCCTGCCTCATTGAAAACTTTATTCCTAAATAAATTCTATACCTGAATCATTTCGCGCTAGCAAATTCCGATAGTTTTTTTTTTTTTATAATAGTTTAGTTTTATGATAGTTTTTTAGATTTTGCAATGCTTGCAGTCGTAGCTTTGATTTCCTATGAAGCAGAAACCACTACTCTCTGTATCCTTTGTCGGCATTTGGATCCAAATAATGATGTCGGCCAGGAACGTTTCGTTTTAAAGAAATGGGGGCCTAATATCCTTATTAAAATTCAGCACGTCTCCATTTTACAATAATAATAACTAATTTCTAACTGAATGAACAAAATAAATAATGAGGCAAAGGACCAGATTGTCTCCTCGTCTCTGTCTACAATCCACAGCGAATTTCTGTAGCGCATTTTTATTACAATGGTATTAGGTTGCTATGGGACAACATCTCATTCGGATATCTATATATTCTCTAGATGCTTTCAACCGAGCTTAAATCGCTTCAAGCTAAACAGCTGATGTAGTTGGCAATATTTCTCGCAATATACCGACTATCTACATTTCCGCAATTTTTTTTTTACTTCGAAGCCTTAATCGACTCTTACTTTCTCGGGGCGCTTTGAAGTAGCTGAAGCTGGATAACTTATCTCGCTTTCTTTCAACCGCCCAGCTCGGAAGTTATATCTCAGCGAAGCAATTGACAACTTTATCGAGGGTAGGATTCTTGCTTTCAACTTCTTTTGAGGACAAAGGCACCTTACCCTTCAACTGTACGCGTTGATATTTCGATGTGCTCACCTGCGATCGCTTGTCTTCTACCAATCTGGTTGTCAGAGTCCGCTGCTTTTCCGTAAGGTCTTTTCACATATCATGTATAGTCACAAAACTACCCAAATCACTGAACTTCGAACTGAAATCGTCACTGATCGAAACTACGAGTAGATGAGAGTAAGGGTATTTATCGTACATCTTTGACCAATATATTTCTTTCAATGCAACAAGAGGAAATCGGACAGCTGAATTGTGGGCACTCAGCCGTTAGAGTCAACAGCCATTGTACTGCGCGTCTCAGATGGTGCTTTACTTTCCTCAGCAGTTGTGCAGCTTCCTTAAACACAGTGTCGTTACATCAGCCTTCACATAAAGCACATATCTATTTAAGGTGTGGAACTATTTTTGAACAAAATCGATAATTTGTA